AATCCACCGGAAGATGGTCAAAGAAAACGGCTTTGTCATGATTATCCACTGGAGAGTATACTTTGTGGATATGCACGAGAGCATTGGCGACTACCAGTTGAACGACAAAATAGCGTCCCAACACAGTCAGTTCTCGAAGTTCTGTAGCTGTGTCGAGACCTGGAAATTCAGGGCGGAACACAGTAATCACGCCGCCAGATCGGTATGTTGTCTGTGAAGCACTGACCGCACCAGGGTCACTGACGAATAGCTTGTGCTTGAAACGGGATTAAAGATTGAATTGGAAAGTATTAAGATGGTGGCAATCGCGAAGTTTGATTTCTTGGATGCAAGAAAGACTATATTTTGCAAGAAGGTGATCAATGAGTGGAAGCTCATTTTTCTTGATTCCATTGGTGTTGACGGTCAACAAGCTGACATCTTGCCATGACACTTCGGGTGCATCTACGCGTAAAATCACCTTAGTAGTTCAGCGCAAGCTTTCGGGCCGTAAAAATAAATTGGCCTTCAGCTTGCTGGAGCTGCAGCACTTCTGCATTCTCTGGGAAGAAGTGGTCGCATTCCCGAAGATACTCAAGGTCATTTAGCATATCTCCTTGCCATTGGATCTCTTTCAAGATTTTAAACAAGTGCATGCCGATCTGTGAGCGAAGCAGGAACAACAACATATTGGGGTGCAGCAGACGTCTGTTGTGTGCTGGTATCCAAGGTACTGACCATCCTGTCAGACGCTGAAGCCAATAATCCTTTCAAAGATCATGGGCGCTGTACACATCAACATCAGCTCGATGAGCGATAGTGCTCTGGTCGTACGCGTAATGATCGCTGTAGCCGAATTGTTCCACCATGAGGCTACACTTCGAAATACATCATTACGTGTCTTGGGAACCTTGGTGTCGACATACTTGGCCCATTTGCGGTCAAACGTGTTGGTGGCGGTTGGATCGGTCGCGCTCAAAATATGACTGATCATGTGGAGTTGAGCAATCTCGGTGATTTTGGGGCTCAACTCTTGCATCTGCCGTAGAAGCGCGGTGTTAAACGCCATGGGTGCCTTGACGGAGCTCATGAATGTCAGCGTGTCAGGGTTGTTTGTCGTCCCGAGTGCTTTGTAAAGACCATCCACCATAGCATTGGCAGCATCCAAGCGATCCGGTAACAATTGGAGATTAGCCGTCTCTTCGGCAGCCTACATCTCGCTGACTATTTCTTGAATTGGCATGGGTTTATTAATCTATATAACATTGGTGTGGTGCTTAATAAGAAAGTGACTGGCTTCCTTGCTAGAGCTTATGTTTATCTCGCGTGGAGCTTGAACCTTTTGCGGGATGATCTGAAAGCACGGGGTCGTAACCTCATCGAGAGTTGCTGGACAACAATCGAACTCGACCTCGACCGTGCTGAAGACGTCGAAGTAGTTACTTGTTACAACTCCGGCAAGAGGTTTTGGATGCGATTTCATCAGCATCTTCGCAAAGTATCCATCAGAACGCGATTGATTGCCTTTACGCTTACTACTAGTAGCTAGCAGCAGCACAGATTGGGACGCTACTGCTGCTGGTGGTGGTAACAGTATCTGAGAAAAAGTCGGACTGCTAGGCGATGACACGAATTGGGAGCCTGCAGCACCAAGCAAAATCTCGCTGGGTGCTGGATCGTTTTTTTGAGGCCGCGGTGAAAAAATCGCAGCTGTTCTGGTAGAGCTCTCGCAGAGCGATTTTCGCTCCGACTCACCACCATAGCATTTGACGGCCGTGTTGAATTTAGATCCGGTCTGGCGCGGGTGGTAGAGGAAGTCCGAGCATCGTCTTCACTCAGGTCGAGCGCATGGATGGATCGTTGACCGAACGACATGCGCTATGTCGGAAAAGGAGCGTTCTTAGCATGTACCGGGTAAATGCGGCCAGCAAAAACGAGCTGGTCGCGCACAGAGCTGCGAACAATAAGCTCAGGAGGGCATCGACAAGAAAGGAAGTACACACGCCACGTGGCTGTGGTGATCATTGCTTCCAGATTTACATCTCGGAATGTACCGTATATCGGCTGTGCTCCGAGCTCGAAGTAGCTTTCAAGCATGAGGTCTACGTCGAATTAACTGTTGACACTCGACACATCAATGAAGAAGTGGTCGGCAAGTATAATAAACCCACCGAATCGGCACCTGCCTCCAAGGATCATGATTTTCTGTCCGGCGAATTTCTAGTAGGCTTCTTTAATCGTCACTTGAAGCAGGTGTTATTATCAGGCGCTTAAGTCAGCAGACCCAGTTGCTGTTGGTCAATCTGTTGCTGGACGAGGAATTTGCCATTGTACTTGAGCAACAAGGCATGAGTTTTGTTCGGCGAGGTGAGGTAGAAAGCTTCATCAGTCTCAATGATTATCACATAACGAGCATGAGTCAGCAAGTATGGACTAGCTCACTCAATCGAGGTGGCGTGTTGACCCCAGTCACCACCAGCTTCATACAAAGATGTGGCTTCTCGACACTCGTGCTAGAAGGTATTTGCGTGCTCAAACACGTACCGCTTTCGGTGAATGACTGGGAAGCACTGCTGCTGATAGATG